GTTTAATCCGCTGAGAACATTACAACGGCATCAACACGAAACATTCTTTTTTTTTCTTCCATTTTTTTTTTTTTGTTTCTTCTACTGACGATAAACAAATAAAACTTACACAAACCTTACGGTTGGAACGCGATCGACGACGAGCTATCGCTTCGGATGTTTCCATTCTTGATGCTCCTCGTCGATGGATGTTAAATTGCTTGGAAAACCTGGAAAAAAAAAACCATGTAAAACAACCGACCAAAAAAATATACAAATACATCTTAGAATAAGTATAAACTGCAATAAAAAAAAATTTCCAAATTTAGTTTGCAAGAAAAAAGTGTTTGGAAAATTTATCAGACCTAAAATACTTGTTACTTTAGTAAGAAGAATATATATAATTATTTATTCATTTTGTAATTGTAAAAAACTTAAAATCATTTTTTACAGAGTTTTCTACAGTGTAAATAAGGAATAAATTGCTTCAACTGAATACACCGGAGTTAATTAAATGGTAAACCAAAAGCAACTAGAAAAAGTTTTATGTAATTAAACACATTTCTCAAGCAGTTAACAGAATTCTTGAGTGCTATAAACAAACCCTGAAACAGAATCATTGGAACACTGTGGGGGTGCTGCCGATACGGTTATGGCCGTTGACGATCCAGTAGTTTTTGCTGCTGATGAACCAGAATAGACCATTGTTATGACGACTGTCTAGGATAGGCTTACCAAAGATAAATGTTAAGCAGTTGGGCTTCTGGTGATGATATATAAGACGATGACCGACCGCCGAGGCAAAAGAGGCGTGGTCAGCCGATTGGATTTGCTTTGGCTTTCTTTGACTTGGGGACGTTTGTGCTAAACGACTGCTGAAGTGCTTCTGCAACGGTAATCCAAAAAAATTCAGTTCAGTTCATTGATACTGTAGATTGGTTGAGTATAAAACAAATTCTTTAGTTGTTAAAATAAACTGTGAATAAAAAAAAAAAAAGAAACAGGAAAGGAAATAAAAAGAACTGCAGTTATAAAAGAGCTATGAAGATTTATAGCTTTAAAAGACCATAATATTGTACTCCTAAAATTTTGAACATATCACTTGCAGTAGTCATTTTTGATACTTATTAAAAATACTTTTTTTTTTCGCTTACTTTATGTTAATAAACTTAATAAAAATATGTTTTACATTTTTCAAAAAAAAAAAAAAAAAACAGCTTAGGAGAAAGCACCATTGCTAAAAAATAACTATTAGTTTAACAGAATTAAACAATCTTTTGATGTAAATTTCTAGTCAATAAAGTTTCTTTTTTTTTTTCGTCTAACTTATATATTATTTATCTAACAAATATAATAGCCAATTTTTGACTAAACTGAGATTAGTCAAAATAATAAGCATTATCAACGAATACTTTTTTTTTTGTGTCTTAAACAACAGTAGGAATCGTGCAAAAAAAAAAGACCGGAAATATTTATATGAATCAACTAAAAATTTGATTAGGTCAAAAAGAAAAAAAAAAAACTTTATAACAAATTATAAATGAGTATTGTAGTGAAAATGATATGTATACAACGACGATGAGGTGCTAAAGTTCTGAACTGTTACAGTTGATGGAACAAAACAGTTTGGATGCTCTGAAAGGTGTGAAAAATTTCAGTTTCACAGTTTTTGCTAAGAAACTGTCATTGTCATCGATCTGTACACTTCACAGAACATCCAAAAAAAGTTTTTGTCATCAATTAATAAGCTTCTTTTTTTTTTTTTTTATTTATTCAGTTTTTTATTATCAGTTTTCTATATACAGATACCTTTTCAGTTATTTTGAAACATTGTTGAATAAACCATAAGTAGAAATTTGTAGCTTTTTTTTTGCCATTTTTTTGCCAATTGATTTGAAGCAAAAAGAAAAAAACAGTGCAGATAAATGAATAAAATACATAAAATAGAACTACAAATAACTTGTTTATATTTTTTTTTCTTACATAACAAACTTAAAGAGAGCACGAAAAAAAAGAAGAAAAAGTTGTCTGAAGAAAACCAAACAAAAAAAAAAACGAACGAACGAAGAAAGAAAGGAAAAAAAAAAAATCTGGTGTAAAAAAGTGACACTGTAAAAAGCCATAAAATTATCACTACCGTATTTCTGGCAAAAAAAGAAAAAACAACTTTTTTTGTTCTGTTTTTTCAATGTTTACTGCTTATACAAATTGACTAAATAGACAAATACAGAAAAGAAAAAGTGAAACGAAACTTTAATGCAAAAAATTTATAAATAATTTTGAAGTAAATTAGAAATTAAAAATTTCCGTACAAAGTGAAGGTAAATAAAGCAATAAATTTCTGCTATAAAACCGAATTTTTTTTTTTTTTTTTTTTTTTTTTTTTTTTTTT